ATGGGTAGAGAAGGATTTACACTGGCCTTGTAATGTACTCTCAAAACCACAAACCACACTAAAAAAAATTAACGTGGGAGGAGTTAACTGATTTGTGCAATATTGTGACTGTTTAACTCTACATCCTGTTCTACAAATGTATCAGCATTGCAGATTCTTGAGTTGTGAAGAATTCAATGAGATAAGTGTCTCCTGTGGTTCTTGGAATACAATCCATGGTTACGAGATAAGGAATTCAGTGTTAGATTTGTTATTTGCAGCAGTGACTTTCTGTGTACGCGTCTGATCCTGCACAATTCCATTCAGTGATTAGGAAATTAACAAGGTTAAATTTTTGGCTTTGGTAGTGATGTCAGTGTTGAACGTGTTCTCCCTTTCTAATGAGTCATGTAATCACATCAATTAGATACTTTTTGTGTAATGTCATTTGCAGTTTTCAAATGGACTGTTCTCCTCTAATAAAAATCTATTAAGATGCTTTTGACAATGAACTCAGGAATTTCATGTATGTTTTCAAATTTGTTTAGGATCCCTGGTAGACCAGTGAATTTTGACATGCTCAATTATTTCAAGAATCCCTCTGATTCAACAGAATTATTCAATATTTCTGTGAACTATTTGACTGACCATTAAACATTCAGTACATAAACTATACTGAAGTGCTTCAGCCATCTCGTGTGTTCTTCTAGGGCAGGTCTGAAACTAACTATCAGATAGGAGGTTCTTGAGTCACTTTATTCTCAAAGAATAGCTGAGGTGGTTTCCCACTGCCTCCCTCATTGTTTTTGTCTTGGTAGAGTACCTTCTCCTATGTGGACTGAAAACAAGACTTTTAAAAACCTATCTACCCCATTACAATTGGGGTGGCATTTGCTCCCATTGAAAGCATGTATCTACTTGCTGATGTCAACCTGATCTCCATTTACCAGTGTCCAGAGTTGTCTGAATTTGCATTCTGATACAATTTTCTTTCTTCTGGACGAAGAAGAAAATTGGCCAAGGCTGTTGCCCTTGGTTGCTGTACATTTGAACTGTCAATGCAGGTGTTTACTCAGGACAGGGTTGGGTTTGGCTATGAAGCTCTCTCTCTCCATATTGAAAATTGAAATTATCTGATGTTATGGGGTGCAATGTTTAAAACCTTTTCACTTTCTGAATGCTGGTGGCAACTTTAAGAGGAAATACAAAAGGTCACAGGCCTTCAGTGTTCTCAACACTGATTTTAACAATACAGTTGGAGAAATTGTGTGCCAAGTCAACAGTTTATACAGCCTGTGTTCTCAGCACCTTGTATGTCTGTGAAACTTAGAAGATGTACAAGTCTCAGGGGAAAAAAAAGCTCAATAATTGTCTGCTGCACATTAAGGGGATATCTTGGCAGGACAAAATCACAAATGTGACAGTCCTAACAGCTGCTCGTCAGATAGATGTAGTTTTGGCTCAGGCTTGTCCATCTTCACAGGATGGAAGATGCTTGTATAACCAATGACTTTCTATATGATGACACAACTGGAACCTGATGACCAGTAAGATCCCCAAGTGTGCTTAAAATTGTGACGTGAAGACTCTAAACAACAATTATCACATGGTTGCTAGTTTACGACAAAAAGAATGGTGACACCTTTGGGCTGACATGTATCAGTGGCTACAGCTGCTTGGCAACAGATGCCAACAGTGAAAACAACCCACGACACTTGTGGCAGGTTCTGCCACTTGGGTTAGTTTCTGTCAGCAAAGGTGTACTAAATGAAAACACCATCCAAAATGGTTTTATTTACTCTGCTTCTGTCATCTTTTGTAGTTGGATGGATGCCAGACAAATGGAATGCATGTGTAAAATAAAATCAACAATGACTTTGGCATCAAAGTCATGCTACAAAGCCATTGTTTTCTTTCCTCTTCCAGCACCAAGTAAATTTTCTGCTGGAATTGTGCACAACTGAAAAAGAAACTAATGGAGAACAATTGGAGTTAATGTTTAAAATAAAATCCACCAAATGTGATTTAATTTTTAGTTGTTTTGTGTATACTATTTACAAGAATTTCATAGTGATGTGTTTTGTTTTGGTTTTTGGCTAAGCATTTACTGATTTGCTTTTTAGATTTATTGCAATGTGTCTGATAGAAAATCTTCGTGTCATGTGTGGATGCCTGGAATGTAGGTTATATGTGCACCAGTCATCTATTGACACAAAAATACATTTGTGGCTTTTAGCGGTCACTTGAGACCTGTGCATACTTGTGTCTATTCTTGGATCTTGCATCAAACTAATGCAGCGTGTCTTTTTTGTTTGTATCTTTGCCCAAACTAAGGAACTGCTCATTTAATCTGTATACACGATGCAAGGATATGCTTGTTATTGAAGTATGGTTTAGGATTGGGTTCCACACATTTGGCAGTGCAGATGTCCCTGCCATGTTCGAAATGGCTAGGCTTTCTAGTTTACTATAGTAACAGCAGGCTTGGAGAAACTCAACAGGTGTGGAGAGAGAAACAAAGTTAATGTTTCCAATCTGGTATGACCTCTTCAGAAGCGGAGTCATGGGACTCGAAACATTAATTCTGTTTTCTGTCCATGTAATGCTAGATTTGCTGAGTTTCTCTGCCATTTTGTTTTTTTTTGTTTGCTTCAGCTCTCCAGCCACTGCAATATTTTGCTTTTATGTTCTATTTTACTCTTTCGTCTTGCTGTTCCCTCACTTACTCTGTCCCCTCCCCAATGTAAAGTTGGCATAATGAGTTGAACCATTTATTTCCACATCTGCAAACACTAAAGTCTGGGCTGCTTGTAAGCCTTTAGGGTCACTGTTTAATTCAGACTAACGTAAGAATTTTATGTGGATCTTTGACAGTATTTTACAAAAATAACTCAAAATTTTTGTGTTTGTTGTTTGGCTGTGTGTTTTTAAACTCCAGCAGGAATATTTCTGGGTAAAAGACCATCTGGGATCTGCAGCCCCTAAAATGATCTGACCCTTTTTTGAGTTGAAAAGAGAAAAATTATTCTTCACCTCCCTTGAAGGTGTTGATTTTTGCATAAGGGTACTGCTTCACAGCAGTATAACTTAAAGCTGCAGACGTGATCATTCTGCCCTTTTGGTAATTTGTGCCAGACCCAAGTAATGCTCATGTTCAATATTGCGAGCCATGTCTAACAGTTGGACTAATGAATCTTAAGCTATTGAATAGTCGAGTCGGCTTGACAGGCCACGTGGCATACTCATCCTATGGCTCAGTGGTTAGCACTGCTGCCTCACAGCACCAGGAACCTGGGTTCGATTCCACCCTTGGGCGACTGTGTGGAGTTTGCACATTCTTCCTGTGTCTGCGTGGGTTTCTTCCGGGTGCTCCGGTTTCCTCCGACAGTCCAAAGATGTGCAGGCGAGGTGGATTGGCCAGGCTAAATTGCCCATAGTGTTCAGGGATGTATAGATCAGATTAGGTGGGTTATCTCATCTCATAGAATCTCATAGAATCCCTACAGTGTGGAAACAGGCCTTTCGGCCCAACAAGTCCACACCGACACTTGGAGCATCCCACCCAGACCCATCCCCCTATAACCCACCTAATCTACACATCTCTGAACACTACGGGCAATTTAACATGGCCGATCCACCTAACCTGCACATCTTTGGACTGTGCGAGGAAGCCCACGCAGACACGGAGAATGTGCAAACTCCACACAGACAGTCGCCCAAGGGTGGAATCGAACCCGGGTCCTGGCACTGAGGCAGCAGTGCTAAACACTGAGCCACCATGCCGCCCCACCAGGGTTATAGGGGGATGGGTCTGGGTGGGATGCTCCGAGGGTTGGTGTGGACTTGTTGGGCTGAAGGGCCTGTTTCCACACTGTAGCGATTCAGTGAGATTTTATTTCTTTTATTTGTTATCCCCCTTTTTTTTTGTTCACCTTTTAGTGTGTTGTATTACTCACATTACTCTGATGGCAGTTGACTCCTTTTTTTTGAGGGTCAGAAGTCACACAACACCAGGTTATAGTCCAACAGGTTTATTTGAAGCTTCTTTCCTCCTTCAGTTGTTAGTCTGCCTTGATTTCTGACTTTGTCCACCCCAGTCCAATACCGGCACCTCCACATCATGACTCCTTTTGAGGGGGATGTGATTTCCCAGGTGTGACCTTTCTTCCTGATTTCCTAGGTGCCCCCCACCCCACCAGGAGTATGTGATTGACTCTTATCCGGAACAGTAGAGCAGACTCAGACCTGCCTCTACCACTGCACTGTCACTGCTGAGCAGACATATTGTTTATGAATGGTCATGTTCTGTGCAGCTTTAATAGAATGGAACCAGTTTGTCTGCAGGAATGAGCTGTTTTTCTCCAAATTATTGTTTGTATCGTCTTTGGGTCTGGACCAGTTTAAATAATTGTCATATTATTAACAATTTTTTTTAGGCAGACCAATTTACACTTGCCTCAGTATTATAGTTCATTGTTTGGAAACCTGGGGCTTTCAAGAAAGAGATTGCACGCAATTAAAGAAATGACCTCTTCTTGTATGATATTAGGAACAGGAATAGGCCGTTCTGACCTCTTGAGCCTCTCCTGCCATTTCAATCAGATCATGGTTGATCTACCATTGTTCCATATCCCTTTAATATACCAACAAAAATCTCTCTGATTTAATAGATCTAATACCTAATATATTTAATTGGGAATGGGTGGGGGAGAGAGGGGAAACACCAGAACTCAGAGACTTTAAAATGCAGTTGTGGTCTGGGATCAGTTGTCTCCAGTTGTAGAATTTCATAGAGCATGATTCTGTGGAACAGTGCAAGAGAAGGCACGCAGCTCTGTGTTCTTCAAATGTACTTGCATGTTGGGGTGTCTTGTGCAGTTTTTTTGAAAAATTCCTTCTGTTAGTAATTTTAAAATCACTGGTCTGAATGCAAAACATTTTGAGTTTTAGTCCTGTTACAACTATTACGTTGAGCAATTCCTCCAAATTGAATTTAAGACCAGATCTATTTAGTAAATGGATACATGAAAGAGAGGTGCTGTTTTCAGAGTTTTTGTTGAAGTGTTTTTTTTGGTTGTTTTCCTGATCTTGTTTCTCCACTTCTTCCTGATGGCAGGTGTGCCAGCCTCTGGTACTTCATCCAAATGTTAGTCCAGCAGTGAATGCTGCCAAGCAGCTCTGTAATGGAGGGAGGTGCTGCAGCTGATTGTTCATACTCCACCAACAGGCAATAGGGTAATCGTTTTGAGAGTGAGAACTCTGGTGTTGCTCAGCTGACTGCTGTCCAAGGAACCAACCATAGACTTTCTCAATTCTGCTTTCCAAATGAGAGTTAGATTTCACTTTTTGTGCCTAAATTTCAGCAAGTGATGATTGGAGAAGGTGAATTTGAACATTTTGAGTGGCATTTCTATTGTCTGATCTAATTGTTTCAGTTCTTAAATTTTTTTTCTCATGTTCTTTCTCCACAGATCTGTGCACTACTGTTCACTGCTTTGTATATTCTCTCCTATCTGGTTATCACTCGATTTAAGAAGAATGCAGACTTTGCAGCAGGTGACTTTTTTTACAAGAATCTTTTTTCTTACAAGTTCTGAAATAATTTTATTCTGACTTTGTCTCAGGTGATTACCACCCAAAGGCTTGGGTTTAAAACATGAATGATTGATTCTAATGTAAGACAATGGATACTTTGAGTGCTGGTACCACCAGTGGGTCATTGATACTATTTATGTAATGTGCTGATGTAGATAAATACAACTTGGGTCCATTGTATCTTGTCATTTGCAATGTGTACTGTAACTCTTGCCAAAGCCTAGTGGAAGGTTTAATGTGATACTTACTTTCAGATGGGAGCATCCTGATCTTGGAGGGTGTTAACCAAGGGTATCCTAAGCTAATAATTCTCTTTCCTCCCACCCACACGGGAACAGATTACATTGTTACTGTGACAGAGGTGTGATACAAATGCAAGTTGTTGTGTAATGTATGTCTGAAAGGGTGGTGGCTGACAGCCTGAAAGTCCTGATGAGTGATGGTTTGTTTATGTATGCAGGTTCCATCTACGGTTTCAAAGTGAGTATTCTGTTCCAAGTGCACTGAGTGGCGAAATGAAAGGTGACCCTTTGTAAACCAAGTTGATTGGACTGCTGAGATGTTGAAGAATTGCATATGTTTAAATTGCAGATACTGCATTTTATTGTTTCAATGTAGGAGAGATTCAAAACACCTTATGGCATGATAATCGAAATGCAACTAAACCTGATTTTTTTTAAAATTAAAAAACCAAAGCATTTTACAATTAATGTGGATGCTGGAAATCTAAAACAAAGTGCTGATGAGACACCGTAGGTCTGGCAGCATCTGTGAAGAGAAAAACAGAGTTAATATTTCAAGTCCAGTGACCCTTTGTCTAATCCGAGACATTAACTCTGTTTCTGTCTCCACAGATGCTGCCAGACCTGCTGAGTTTTTCCATCACCTTTTTTTTAATTTTAGTGTTTTAATGATCTTCAGAAAAGATGAGTCCTAGCTGAATTACATGAGCTTGAACTATCCCATATTTTTATAACATTTGATAAATAACAGCTTGGCTGTCATTTATTGGGATTTCTGCAGGCTGTTGATAAAGTGGACTGCAATAAAGAATTTGTCAAAACTTGATAGTAATACAATTTTAGAAAAAAAATCAAAATTTTCACTTTGATATGCTCCTGAGCAATGACTAACCCATTTAAAATATATATACAAAAGGCTTTGCTACTCTGTCTGCACCCTCTAAAACCTCACCTTCACCCAGCTTAAGCTTGACCTTTACATTTTAAAAATTCAAACTATTTACCTGGTGCAGCTCTGAATTATAAGATTCAAGGGCTTCCTTGCATCAAGAAAGCTGAGTGACGTAGACTTTCTTGCCAGCAGCATAGTGACTTTTGCAAAATGTCTTGCCATCAGTTAATGTGCAATTGCCTTTGTCACTCTTGTCAATGCTGTTATCATTTTTAAAAGTCAGGACAGCTCTCCCAATGCAGAACCTTGCCCTCAGGAGAAGTGGTTGGGAGGGAGAGGAGGATTTGTTCCATCAGATTCATATTAAATGTTGAGACTTGTTGAGACTTGTTTTCACTCACAGGGCATGATTCCATTGTTGGGTTTGTTTCGAAGGCTGTTTAATTAATTTACTGTAAGGTTATTATCGTTTAGCCTGTCAGCTGAGCTAGGGTTTGTGTGGAAAAACTGAAAGACAAGGGTTATTTTTAGCATAGATTGGGAATTAAACACAACATCTTGTTGATCATCTTGTATATCTTTATAACCACACTCAGCTGCTTCATTTGTTCAGTTGTTGACAGAATCATGCAGTGCTGATCATTTTAATTAAACTGTTTATTTTTCATAGAATTATGTTTTCAATGCCTGCTGCTGTTGAAATCGGAGTTGTCCTTCACAGATGATTATTTAACCCCAGGGGCACCAATGTTGGTTATAGAGGTCCTACTTCCTCCCTTGTTGAGGTCAGCTCATTCCTTGCAGGCAAGGGTTTGGCTAGTTTGTGATTCACCTGCATACTTCTCAAGCTTTTGCTGCTGTTTGAGGTTAGGCAGAGTAGTATCCTCCAAATTCTGATGACTTTATATTTCAGGACATAGAGAGAATGCAGGCAATTCATCGTTGCACAGACAATACAACCAACAGCTGCAGGGACTATTTTTATTCACTTTTTCATGTTGTTTCAGTTATTCATATGGTACCTAGTGGTGCCAAGACTGCATATTATTTGATAGGGTCATGTACCGTTGGACAGGCAGTGACGTCTGAGTGTCACTTAAACCTCCTTAGCATCTTGTCAATGTTCTGGACATGTTCCTCTCTTAATGAAGAGTGTATATTGGCATATTTCTGTAGCCACAAATATCACAGAGCCATTGCTGAAATGCTGCTCAGTTGAGTTTTGGGTGAAAACAAATTATCCTGTAGATTTTGATTTTGATTGATTTTTGGGCCACAGTAGTCTTGGGAGACATGAAAAATACATGTTGATGTTGATGTAATCTGATAAAATGATGTCAAGCTGAAGAAGGAGATCAGAAATTGGTTACCTAAAAACTTGCCAAAGAAATTTGAAAGAGGGGAAACAGAGGTTGTTCATGTGAGATTCCAGAGTTTGGGGTATAGACCTCTGAAGGCATGGCTATTAATGGTGGGTGAAGTGAAGTCAGACATACAGCTGGTGAGAACTGGCCCTGCTGTAAGAAGACCAGGAAAATAAAATACTGCCCAAAATTAGCCTTTTATTTTCAGATCTGACCTTAAAGATGTTTTTTGCTCATGTTTTTTTTTGAGATGTGGTGTGGTTGAGGCAGATCAGAAACATTAACAAAAAAGGTGGCAAAGTGAAGCAGAATCTAGCTTTATTGACCAAAGAAAAATGCCAATCCCAACTGCCACCCTAGTGCAAGGCTTCAATGGAGGATCCCTATTTGAGAGTCACCCTCCAAATAATGCATGTTTCTCCTGCATTGGGACTATTTCCAAATGTAGAGAAAAAGGATCTGTCATTTTAAAAAAAAAAAAAAAAAAAAACCTTTTCTCAAAAAAACATTGTTTATGGGATTTGAGTGTTGCTGGCTGGGCCAGCTTTTTTTGCCCATCCTTAAATGCCCTGGAGAAAGTGGTGTGAACTGCTGCAGTCTTTTGGGTGTGGGGACACTGATCATGCTAACAAGCTTTTTTTGGTCTGTTGAAGTCATTATTAAGACCAGAGAGCTATAAAGTACCTTCTAGAAAAGTGAAGTGCTTGAACTAGGTTGATTACAGTGCACAAGTATAAATCTGGAGAGCTCCAAGAGGGATGGAGAATTAAACTGGTGAGTTAGAGTGAAGCTAAATTAGTGGGGATGCGGCTGGGATTGGAGGGCAGGGGGAAGATCTCTCTTTTCACAAGATAGTGGATATGTGGAAAGAACTCTAGGTTGGTTTGAGATCAAATAAAACTTCCAAATAGAACTGAATTGCTGTCTGTTGAGAATGAAGATTGAAGGTGATAGAGACAGAAATGCTTGTTTTATTTCCGGGAAGGGACTTCGTTGCTCTCATGAGAAGAGGAAGCTATGATGGAATAATCATGCATAGTCTCTGGGTGATGTGACCTTGACGTCAGATGGCTTTTTCTTGATTCATTCTTTGTGTTCTTAAGACTGTGGAAGTTAAATCAAAATGATACTTCCAAGAATGAAAATCTGGAATATGTTAAATGTTTTCTATCCTTTATAGTCCTTAATTTAAGACTTGAACCAAGATGTGTTTCTCTGACTAACAGCTGAAATTTGGAAGTGAAGCTTATGATATCAGAGTACTGTTGGGACTCTGACAACTTGATTAGCCTGAAAGGTGTTACAGAGCATCTTCCTAGTTTAATCCTAAAAATCTATTGTTGTATATATTTTTCCACCACCAGGAAAATAGCCATGTGGCCAATTGTACATTAACCAGCAAAGAAATCCATTGTTGTAAGAATAAAGCAGTAATTCTAACATGTAATATGAAATTATCTATCTTCTCTAGACAATAATGAAGATGCAACAGTAAATCGAATCACGTAAGTGTGATTTTTTTTTTGATTATATTAAACTCAATCTTCTACTTTAATCTTCTTTCATTAAAACCAGCTATGTTATAATCCTGTTGATCTGGCCTAAAGGAAGATCAATTGGAACTACTTCCTTCAACCACAAATTTATAATAATGACACTGTATTGTACTTTAGTCCCAGTCAAACTGATGTCTCAAAGGCACTAGTCATTTGGACTTTGTATCTGATGGTAAAATTGGAAGATTAATGCCAGCTCAGTCCTGCTCTTTGGACAGCCACGTGTGTGTGAATTCAGACAGCCATCCAGCTATTTAGCCACCTTTTCTTTTGGTCTGAATTATTTTTAAGAGTGCAATAAATATTTATGCCACCCTATTGTAGTATACTGGTTATGCTACTAGTACTGCAGAGGATGAGAGTTCAGATCCCACTATGGCAATTTGAGAATATGAATTCTCTTTTTGGTTTAAAAATCTGGAAATAAAAACATGATATCAGCAAACGTGGCCATGAAGCTGTTCGATTTATATTTTGGGGGGAAAAAATTTGGATTGTAAGTGTTCATTTCAGTTGGAAACCAGTCTTTGCTTGGATAAAAACAAAGAACTGTGGATGTTGGAAATCTGAAACAAAAACAAAGTGCTGGAGAAACTCAGCAGGTCTGGCAGGATCTGTAGAGAGAGAAACACAGCTAATGTTTCAAATCAACTGACTCTTGGTCAGAATCCTGAGTTTCTGCAGCACTTTGTTTCTATCCTTGTTTGGTCTGGGCCTATGGATAATTCCAGACCCCATCAACATGCAGACTTGCTGGGCCAAATGGCCTGTTTCTGTACTGTGCTATTCTCTGATGCCTGACTGACCTCTAAAGTGACCTAACAAGCCACTGCATTGTATCAAACAGCTGCAGCAGTTCAAGAAAGTCCATCACTTCCTTCTCAGGATAATAAAAAAGCAGACATTAAGTGTCTGCCTTGTCAAAGATGTCCACACCCAAAGAATGAATCAAAATTGGCTAAAGCCCTGGAGATGATATTTTGGAATGTTGTTGATGAAGGAGTCTTGCCTTTTCCCTACTTGTGCCTTATTTGATATAGCTGACATTACAGCCTTTGTTATAAGCTAATTATCTTGGTTTCACAATTTCCCTATTTGAGATGCAGTAAATGATGAAAGTCTTTTAGTTTATTGAATATAAGATAACTACTGTCAACTACCTAGAAGTGTAACCAGTTTTTCTTTTACTGAACAGCAGGGAATGTTTGACTTCACATACAAATAGTTATCAAGTATTTTGAGTAAGGGGATGGAGGAGAGATAAAAAAACTTACATTAATAAAGCATCTTTCACATCCATTGGCTATTAAACAGTTTGAAATTTTCAGTTCTGAGGAAGGGTCACTGGACCTGAAATGTTAACTCTGTTTTTTCCTTCACAGATGCTACCAGACCTGCTGAGCTTTTCTAGCAACTGTTTTTGTTCTTGAAATTTTCAATGTTTGCAGTGTAGTCACTTGTTTTAGTACATGTGACAAGTAAATAAATCTAAATCTTTTGTAAGTATTTCTGTGTGAATGTCATAGAGTTTGTGTACCTTGAACTGGATAATGGGTTATGTCATTGTCTCTGTCTGCTACCATGGTGTTCAGAGGATTATCTACATTGTTTGAAATATTGAGGAAGCTTTTTTTTAAATCTAGTCAGTAGGGATTATTTACTGAAATATTAAACTATTCTCTCTCTCTCACTTTCTGTTTATGGAAAGATGCTGCTTTAAATGCACACAGCCACCTCCCACCATCTGTTCTCCCAATGCATGTGTGCTTAACCTGTTGGTAGATTCAGAACACGGGGATTTTTGTAGCTCCTTTCTGCAGTCAGCTCTCTGTGCAGTACTATTCATATAGATAGAAGTGCAGCTGAAGGCAAGAGAATGGAGGTGCTATTGTCAGCTGCTTTAGCAATAAAGGACCTAGTTCTCCCTCCTGCCTGTGTGCCACATGTGAACAATGTGCTCTTTGGAAGGTGTTGATATGTTGTGATGACATAAATGGGACAATTTCTTTAAGACAACAGGACACTCGTGACTAATTTTAATCTTTTTGTAAATAGGTTATGGATGTGCACATTCACCCTCGCAGTATCTGCTGGGGCGGTCTTCCTTCTTCCATTTTCAATTATTAGCAATGAGGTCCTGCTTTCATTGCCAGAAAACTATTACATGCAGTGGTTGAATGGTTCACTAATTCATGGTGAGTAAATGGGAGCTTAATAACAATGTTGTCCATTTCCAGGTAAAGAATTGACACATTGCCGAATTTTATGTTAATTATGATAGGCAGCACGTCTAGAAAAGAGCTACATTCTTGTTTGCTGGTATCAGCTTGAACTCCAATTTGAATCACTAATGCAGCTAAAACAATAAACGTGGGTTGTTAGCCTTTTCAAAACTAAAGTACTGATTTTTCTGTGCTTTTTAAGACTGAGTCAAGTCCTGCAAGAGTGAGCTAAAGTTGCCATCTAGTGGTGAAATGGAGTAACCACAAGCAGCCACAGTTTCTAGCTTTTTGAGGAAAAGTGGCCATGTTTTTGCAATGCTTGGCCTGTTCTGAGTCTCAAATCTAGACTCTGACTTTTTATTTCATCCTCCATCACTATTGAACATTTTTTCCTTTTTTATGTTATTCAACAATGAGCATTTTCTCATTCTGTAGTATAGACATCGCTCACATACAGTATCTAAAATGCTGGCTATAATTAGGGGTGTCAAAACCTGCAGTGTTGACTTGGAAGTACCAGGTATCAACAGATTAATTTCCAGGATACTGGTGCAAGCAATCCGGGAGAAAAATCATTGGGGAATTAGGAAAAGTGCTTATTTTGCAGGTTGGGATTTTTGTTTTAGTTATTAAAAACAAATATTTGGAGATCTGTCAGGCGATTGTTTGACTGGTCAAGAATCATCCAGTTAGCTAACTAAGTCTGTTTGTTTTTGATTTGGTTTGGTAAGACACTGTTGGGAGACTGAATGTTTTGGCTGATTATACTGAAATCTCCAGGGATACATTCAACCAGAGCTGGCATTGAATCTTAGATTCAATTCCATTTTAAAAACCTTTCAAAATTTTCATTAGGTTATTCGAAGCCTCCAATTGCACAGGCTGAAAATTATTTCCTTGAAATTGTTTTCTTTTATCTTCCAATAGAGTCAGTGTTCCCAGTTGCAACTCAATGACTGTTCTGATGGAGGTTTTGGATAATTAAACTTTCTTTGATTATCTAGCATCAGCACTAGTTGCAGAACCCAATAATTGCACAGCAGGTGTTAACAGAAATCTCCAGAGAACGTAAGTGTCCTGTGTCTCTCCCTGCAGGCCTATGGAATCTTGTTTTTCTCTTTTCCAACATCTCTCTGGTGTTCCTGATGCCTTTTGCGTACTTCTTCACTGAATCAGAGGGATTTGCTGGCTCAAAAAAGGTGAGAAGGGATATTGTGGTGTTGCAGAAAGACTGAAAGAGCAGTGGTAAGTGGCTAGATCTAATCAGATTTAAAATCATCACTGGAAAATAGGATGAGAAGGGTTGATTGCTGTAGTGCAATAACTGCAAGATTGTTGAATATACCAAATCAGCTGGAAGACTGGCTATGCCTTTCCCTCTAAACCTAACTGAAATGCAGTACTGTTCTCCATGGCAGGACAGAATTTGTACAGGATTTAGGAAGTGCACAAGGTGGGTTGAATGGTTAGGGGGTTGGGGGGAGGTGGTGAATGTATGTTTGTCTGTGTGCTGAGCAGAAGCAGCTGAATGGATACTCTCAATCTTAATGACACATTCATAATTCCTTGTGTTGGAGGTGTGAATGAAGAAGGTCTTAAAGTCTTGGGGATTATCTTTTATCCTGGAAACGTGACGAGTTCTACCTAGGAGAGTAGGATGCTTTGTTCCAGCTTGATCTGACAGTGTGGTTCAACCATCATGTATGGGTGATAGTGTTTTTTTTTGTCAGGCCTTGAATCTGCTGATGGTGAAGATTCAGTAAACCGGTCTCTCTGCATGTAACCTGTTTTTGTTATTTGTTAACATGTATTGAATTAATGAGCTACTTTTGGCAAATTTCAGCAATCAACTAATTCCAGGATTAGCTTATCGATTTGGTGGCAAGTCCTTCAACAAGGGTGATGCTTTGGGTGAAAACAAAAAATGCTGGAGATCACAGCGGGTCAGGCAGCATCCATGGAGAGAGTGCAAGCTAACTTTTTTGAGTCTAAGATGACTTTTTATCAGAGCTGACATGAAGTGGTGAGGGGGCAGCGTTTATGCAAAAGTTGGGGGAGTGATGGAGTGCTAGGGGAGAAACAATGTTGATAGTTCAGATTAATTGAATGTGAGAACGGCAGAACAGTGGTGTAGTTGTAGACCTGCTCGCTGAGCCGGTGGGTTCGGTTGCAAACGTTTTGTCACCCTGCTCGGTAACATCGTCAGTGTGTCTCCAGTGAGGCATTAGTGTTCTGTCCCGCTTGTTATTTATATGCCTCAGTTTGTTGGGGTCTTTGGGAGAACTTCCGGTTCTGTTTCTCAGTGGTTTGTACACAGGGTCTAATTCAATGTGCTTGTTGATGGAGTTCTGGTTAGAATACCAGGCCTCCAGGAATTCCCTGGCATGTCTCTATTTGGCTTGTGCGATTTATGGATGTGTTGTCCCAGTCAAATTCGTGCCCCTCATTGTCTGTGTGTAGTAAGACCAGTGAGAATTGGTCGTGTCTCTTGGTGGCTAGTTGGTGTTTGTGTATCCTTATTGTCAGTTTTCTTCCATTATTTCTTTCATTCCATTCTTTCATTTCATTACATTACATTACATAGACCAAACTGGAAGAAATCTTCTCAAACTTTAGAACAATGTGTGTGTCTAACTTTGCCAGACTGGAAAGAACATACAGCCCTACTGGAGTGGAGGGGAGAGGATAGAGGACATGGTGATAGAGTGTAAAGAGAAAAGCTAAAGGAAAAGGAAGGAATGAGAGTGAGTTCACAGTTTGAAGGTGTTGAACTCAATATTGAGCCCAGAAGATTGTAAAGTGCCTAGTCTGAAGATGAGATGTTGCTCCTCTAGCTTACACTGTGATTCAGTGGAGCATTGCAGCATGCCAAGGACAGATATGTGGGCATGCGAGCAGGATGCTGTGTTAAAATAACTGGCTATGGGAAGTTTTGGGGTCATGCTTGCGTACAGACTGGAGGTGTTCTGCAAAGCAGTCACCCAGTCTGCGTTTGGTTTCTCCCTTTGGGTGATTGGGTCAGTTAAACAACATTCTGCTTTGACTGAACACTGGTAGTACAGGTTGTTGACGTTAAAATTGCTGGGTTTAAAATCTCATTTGTCTGACCTGGATTTTCAGCTCAAACATGTTAACTGTCATTCTTAATATACAGGAACCTAGTCTGAGAGATGGTATTGTCTTTTCCACAGGGAATAATGGCTCGAGTTTATGAAACATTTGTTGTCCTCTTCCTTCTGACCCTTCTGGTTCTGGGGATTGTGTGGGTGGCATCTGCAATTATCAATAATGATGCAGCTAGCAGAGAATCTCTGTATGGTAAGTGTCTAGTAAAAAGCTAAATGAACTACCCTATCTGTTCTGCTTGATGTCTTAAACTTCAATCAATTCACTTAATTACTTTCTACACCCCAAGGAACACAATCCTAGCTTGTTTAATCTCTCCTTGTAACTTTACCCCTCCGAGTCAAGGTGTCATTGTAAATCTAGGCCAGTACAGTACACCTTCAGGTGTGGTGCCTGGAACTATTCAGTTATTCTAGGCTTGGTCTAACAAGAGTATTGTATAACTGAAGGATGAATTCTATTCCCTCATATTTGAATCTCCTAGATGTGAAGGTCTGCATTTCATTACCTTTTTGATTAACTTTCTATACCTGTTCATTTTTAAGGATTACGTATGTGGGCTCCCAAGTCTCTTTGGCCTTCCACTGTTTCTAGCATTTCATTATTTCAAATTTGCTGTGTCTATCCTTTTTGGGTCCAAATTGGGTGACCTCATATTTGCCTACAGTGAAATCCATTTGCTACAGTTTTGCCCATTCACTTAACCTGTCAATATCTTTCTGCAAGCAATGTAGGTAGAAGCATAAGGTTACTATGCTACCTATCTTTGTGCCATCAGCAAATTTGGATTTGTTGTTTTCTATCCTGTCATCTTGCTCCTCCTGGAGGAGGAGTGGCAACAAATATTGCAATTTATGTTTTTTTTTAAAAATTGCTATGGTATTGGCACAGAGTTGTAGAACTTGTTGCAGCCCTATCTCAAAGTTTGGAGGCTCATTGGATGGTCTGAATGGTCTCCTTCTGTGCTGAAATAATTCTGGTATCATTTCTGTGTTCCTGTTATCTTGGGATGGAGCTTTACACATCAGGATGTTGCATTTCAAGAAATTTAAAAATGTAAGAACAGGACCTTTCTCCACCTGTTCATTCTTATTCAGTCTATATTTTAACCCATGTTCTCTTTCACCAACAGATTTGTGGGACTATTACCTTCCATACCTCTACTCCTGTATTTCTCTATTTGGAGTTCTGCTTCTCCTCTGTGAGTAACACTTTTTAGGATAAAATAATGGTCTGTACTGCCTTGGATTGATGCTTCTTTTGCTAACTAGCAGCATTTAAAACCTTTTCATGAAATTAAATGAAGCTTCACACAATCATTTAAAGTTTGCTTAAATAGCCCTGTACCTGAATTCAAATGGCTTATAAACTGTGTTCTTGAGCGAATGTAAATTTTGGGTTGTGTACGTGCATTCTATCGACCAGTGCGAGGACAAAGCCTAGCACAAATAGATTTAGTTTACATGAGAAACAGACAGGGGCAGTTGACTATACAACTAGAACTGGCCAAACTTGTCGTGCTTAACTTCCCCTTTTTAAAATTGAGCATTGGCACAACAAAGGGAAGACTGAAGTTTAATTTGCTTCTTTAAACAGTCAGTTCTTCTCAAGTTGATTATTGTTTACTACAGTTTTTCTAAAATAAGTCATGTTACACAGCATTTCATCACTGTAAAGTCTTCTCTTTTCTTAAAGAGAAAATGTTCAGAATGTTTTATTTTTGCTTCTTTTTATTGGACAGGTCTTTGATTTCCAGAATTAACTTGTCTCCTTCACTTCACAGTGTGCACTCCTTTTGGCTTGTCCCGCATGTTCACTGTCACTGGCCAGCTACTTGTAAAACCCAGGGTAAGGAATCTTATTCCTAACTTCTCACCATCCTAAGGGACTGTTCTATAACTTC